GGTGAGAAAGTGGGCAGGAAGGAAATGGTTGTGCCAAAACATGGCGCTGGAAGGGAGCCTCTGGACTGGGAGAAAGAGGAACGAGTGAGCCCGAAACCAAATCAAGCCAGAGCTTTCTCTAGATGCAAAATGACCAAACTGAGGCTGTCCGACTCTGGACCCATCGTGAGAAGGGAAGACCCCCTGGAGGAGGCAACCACGCTCGGGAAAGGTAAAGGCAGAAGAAGAGGAGGAACAGCAGCGATGACGTGGACGGAGTCCATCAAGCTGGCCACAGCCTGGAGTGCACAAAAGCTGCGCAGCGATCTTTGTGGGATTACTTATAGAACGGGAAGGCATTAGCGTTGGTGTACCTGCAGGCATGTTTACATTCCAAGCAGTGGTGGAAGGGAACAAAGGGCACTGAATTCTTTTGATGCTGATGCATTTTAGCAACCGACACTCATTCATTGTTAATGAGCTTATGGAACAGAAAGTTTTCTGCAGAAAAATCCAACCCTGGAACATTTTCTGCCCTGCGCCACTGCATGGTGGGTGCTTTCAAGGAAGATGGGGCCAGATAAGGGTCCGGATAAGGATCCAAGTGGGGCCAAAAGCTGATGGAGCTATAAAGGGCCACCGAGGTTTTCTTCCTGGTAGGGGATGCTTTGCCCCTCGTGAGCGGAAGACACGCTCCATTTTCTCAAGACTCCAAGTTCAGCCCTTCAGCCGGGGGGGGGGGGGGGCTGTGCCACCAACAGTACCAGACGGGATGGGGCCAGCTTGACAATAAGCCTTCAGTGGGGAGTCCACTGAAAAGCAACACCTTTCCGCAGACACAAGCGAGAAGGGTTTCTCGGCTGGCTGGCTGCTTCAGAAGATCCCTGTCCCGCCAAGCATTTTGCCCCAGCAAAATCTAGCTGGTGATAATAAAGTCGTGTCACATGCACATTCTCAGAGCTGCTAAGCTAATGATCTGCTCAGATTGGTCTGATCAAACATTAATCTGCTGGTTGGGACACAGAGGTCAGCCTCCGCAACTGAGTTACCCAACAGAACTGCCGGGCTCTGAGGCGCGCCGGCTGAAGGAACAAGCCCTGGCCTTGGAGAAGGGTCAGCAAAGGCCATGCCCAGTGTGAGGAAAACGAGTGATCTCCCTCACAGGGTTGTTTTTACATGCTGAAACCTCGCAATGCTGCGTCACGATTCCAACTGCTGCCTAAGACTGGCTTGGGTCCCAATGATCAGAGCGAAGGGAGCACAACTCTCATCATCCTCAGCCCCCAGGGAGCTCCACTGGAGGCTGCAGTCAATGTGTCTGGGGGCAGCAGGTTGGGGAAGCCTGGATTCCTGGATGAGAAGCACATCCTGCTCCCACACTGGGCCACAACACAGAGTAGGGCAAAGGGTGCGTACGCACGGGTGGCACCTCCAGGCAGGGGCACCGCAGGGCAGGGGTGTGAGGGCTCGCCCCAGGCCCTCTCCTCTGCTAACTGACCTGGCAAACGGCCACCACCAGTCAAGAGAGGGAGGCAGATGGTCAAACCGAGCTGGGCGCCCACTGACCTCGTGAGATTTTAAGAAACCGAGATGCACGGGGGGCGCAGCACTCCCCTGGACCACCCCTGCACCAAAACAATTCAAGAATCCAGGCTGTTCTGCGAGCACACAAGTATGGCCGAAAGGCTTTGTGCGACAACACAAGCGGAGTCTCGCTGGGAATGCCCGCCTTCACAACGCCCCTTTCTCCTTCCCAGATGAGCTCTCCTCCAGGAATAGCTGTATACCAGGCACTTTCAAAAGGGGTGCCTCCCAGATGGATTGGCCCCCACCTCCCCAGAGCACCCCCGGCGGCTGCACAGCATTCCATGGGAACCGGAGCCTGCGGGACGGAGTGGCGGATAAAAGAAAGACAAGCCCCAGTTACGCATGTGGCGGACACGCAGGAATGCCCGTCAAGGAGGGCGAGACATTCTGGAAAGCCGCTTGAAGGACAGGGGCATCCTCGGACTTGCCAGCGTGAGACAAGTCGTGGGCTCTCGCGAGAAAGATCTGTAAGCAGGAGCTGATTAAGAGTTTGCAAACTCAGCCTGACATTTGATCTTGAGGAGCTTCGTGGGGCATTAAGGCTTAGCACCAGAAGGCCTTTATTTTATTTTCAAGGAGCAGGACCAGACAATAGAAGCAACTGCGTCGACAGGGGGGAGGTGGGGGGGGGGACAACCGCGTAGGTGCCAGGAGCCAAAAATGACTTTTCGGGACAGTCTCGTATTTCCTGAGGGCTAAAGTTTCCATGGGAGAAAAGCAAACCTCTGCTTCCCAAAGTGAGAAAACCCAAGAGGGTGGCATGTCTTCAGACGAAGGAACACGCAGAGAAAGGGCGCTTTGCAAAATGCTTATCTGGCCCCACTTTTTTGAACTGCCTTCCAAGCTTTTTATTTTCCTGCATCCGCTTGCCAAAACACTGAGCACTCTTCCCCGTGCGGCAGAGACCTCCAGGTCCCTGCCTGGGCCCGCTCTTCCCAAACGCCACTGTTCCCTGCCGCTTCGGGGCTCTGGAGTAAACAGAGCTGCAGAAGCGGGAGCGATTTTACGCTGGAAGCCCCTTTCCCCACTGCGTTCAAAGCAACTGAAAACAATGTTCAAAGCGTCACGAAATACCAGAACATGTGGTTCATGCAGGGCCATGATGCATGCCAGCCCTGGATATCAAAGCCAAGCCAGGTTACGTGTGTTCCAGCAACCCGGAGGGGCGTCTGGATGAAGCGGCAGCAGGGAGAGAACGCATGGATGGCGGCGTTCGCCCGCCCGGAGACTGGCCTGCCCAGTGGGCGAGCTCCAGGAAGAGGCGGAAGAGCAGTTTTCGCTCCACCACTGTGCGCGCTTTACAAGCTTATGAACTCTTCCTGCCTAGTCATTCAGCTGTTCGCAAGAAGCGGATGATGAGTTATTTATTCTACCATTTGAAATCTGGGAGGGGGAGAAACCCCAATCAAGGGCCAAGGAGAACGGGATCAACCCAGCTCTGCAGTAAAAATGGAGACCACCGGTCACAGCAGTCACCGTTTCGGGGGAGTGTGTCCATCAGCCTCGCAGCCCCAGGAGAGATGGGCAGAATAGCTGTCTGGAACCCAGCAGGGAATCCCACTATCCAGGAGCATTTTTTTGCTCCCAGGGACACTCTTTCTCTGCATCCCCAATTTTGGGGGTGAGGGAAGAGGCAGTCATTTTCAGTGAGTGAAAGCTCCGCCTTGGGCTGGTTGCATCCATCCCCTGGAGGCGAGAGCCTCCACACAGAGCCAGGCAAATCTGGCAAACCCAGGCTGAGGCCTTTTAGGATTTAAAGTGAAATTCTCTGCTGCCCCAACTACTGACCCCCCAGTAAATAAAATATGACTTCTCTTTCTCTACATCCCTGCACATCCACCAAAATAAAACCCCAACCTGCTTTGGAAAATGAGGCGGATGCCTGAGTGACTCCCACCTTCCCCCACCCCCTCGATCCCCCCACCACTTCCCATTCTATCAGACTCCTCCCACTCATTCCGTCCTCTCTTTTCTGAGCAGAATTCATCTTCCCACAACCTGCCAGGCTTCTCCCACTGGCAGAGGACCAAGTCTCCACACCTTTCTGGACTGGAAGGTGTGATTTTGCCCTCTTCATCTGAAGAAAACACTGCACACACAAGCCACCCCCCACAAAGGCACAGTCTACGGTTGAGAGGCAAAGGACCAGGCCAAAGCGATGCCCAAGAAAGGCAACCAGGGTGAGGCAGTGCTGTGGGGGGGGGGGCACAGCAAGGGGTCCATCCCCAATGGTTTCTTTTCCATATAATGATCGGCTGCCATTATGCAGACTCGGCAATATAAAGGCCCTCTCTCCCTAGCCTTGCACTGCAACTTCCAGTAACATGCATGCCATTAACACTTCATTTTCAGAGGTAACAGGGCTACTGAAGTCACTACTGGTATTACTACCTTTTACACTGCTGAGGTTTCGACCAGACTCCTGGGAACAGGGATCTGAACGTCACACAGGAACAATATTTTCAGTGCCCTTGCAGGTGCCAGGGCAGGTGGGACAGGGGGGCGGGGCCTTCCGCGTAGTGGCACCCTGTTTACGAAATGCCTTTCTCAAATCCAGTCACATGCTATCCGTTTTTAAGCACTGGCAGCAGCCTATTTCCTTCCAAATAGGCAGCAAAATCATTTTATGGAATGTTGAAGCTTTTCTTGTCTTAGGTCTCCGCCGATCTCGCTACTCCTGCTAATATGTTTGTGTTAAGTTTTCAGCCTGCACCTTTCTGCTTTGATAAGGGAGCTGCATGGGGATACTTCCTCCCAGGACTGAAAGGTGCAACCCTACTCCAGCAGGCAGAAAGGAGTAAGAAATGCATTTCTGAACGCACACACTCAAGGAACTCTATCAGCAGTCACACATGTGAGACCCAGACTGACGGCAAGCGAAATGGGCTACAGCAGGGCCCTCACTCGCCCAAGACGGCCATGTCTCCCGCCAGCCCTCATTTCCCGCATCCCAAATGGAACCTCCCCTCCCCCCGCGCCCCGCACACTGCCACCTGGTGCAGGGCCATGCCCTCCCGAAATTCACCCCTCTCCACGCGGGGAGGCCCGCGCAGCTGCCCGTCCTCCGTGGGGCAGGGATCTGCTCCCACCGGCCCTTCCAAGCGCCAGCCCGCCCTACACGCGGGGGCCATCTTCGCACGCGCCCCCGGCCACCCCCCGCGCATTCAGGGCGCTCCCCAGCGCGAGGCACCACGAGGCCGGGCAAGCCCCGCGCGCCGCACCGGTGACCCCTCCCCGACCCGCGATGCCCGCAGGGGTCCGCGCTGCATTTCC